CTCCAGACCAGGAGAGACCATTATTTTCATTGCTAATGCATAACGGTAATTTTGCTACTGTTAGGAATTGGTGACCCCTGTGAAAGGTCATTCGACCCCCAAAGGGGTCGCGACCCACAGGTTGAGAAGCACTGCTATTGAGGGTGTCTGAGCATCCATCTTCGCAGGAGTAGGTAGCCTTGTCTTGCTCCCGAGCAGCTGCTGGTGGGTTTAGAGCACCAACCTTGTGTTTAGCAGCCGTGTTTGCCTGACTCTCACCACAGTTCCCACAGGTGTGGGAACTGTGCCTGGTACGGTAAGCACAGAATAAAGGTTAGATGTCATTCTTATTCCCTCAGAACTTTAAAAATCAACAAATGACAGTCTCCAGCTTTATACAGACGGTTACAATAACATAGGGACACCGTGGCTAAGTAGCCAACGCCATAAGTCCACACGAGACAGGTTGCTTTGATTCCTACGGAAACCAAGCTGTCCATTACAATAACCACGTCCACCCTGTCTCTGTTGATTCAGTGCTAACACCTGCCCTCTACCACCACGGGAACCAATCAGCCCCGGGAGCTCTGAAGGTCATCACAGGTGTTACTCTGATAAATACACTTTGAAATGGACAGTCACATCGTTCTGGCCATCTCAGTGTGCCCAGGGCTCTGAGGACATGCATCTTTCTACTAACTAGACAATATTTCCACACTGAAAAATAATTAAGGACGGGCTTTGGGGGCACTTGTTTACTATATTGAAGAAAAAGTCTAAAGTAGTGATTACTGTAAAATAGAGTTTAATTTTGCTCTTTGCATTAGGAACACAAAATTGGAAAAATACCCATATACAGTACAAGGGAATGGGAAAGTTGCTGAAAATTGTATAAAAGACAAAGCCAACCCCTCACGATTGCATGAGCACCCCCCACCCCACCCCAGCCCCAATAGCAAAGAAGCAGAAAGTATGTTCCAAGCTGATCAGATCCTCTCGTCAGGCCAGCTTTAATGGGGCCACGGCTGCAGTCTCCCTAAGCCAATGGGAAAGAGCTTCGAGGCTTCCTTCTCTCAGCAAGCATTGTAGCAAACCACCACGAAAGGTACATTGCTGAGAAGCCTGCGCTGACTCTTTAGACTCAGGACTAGCCGAGAGGCACACTTCACTGGGAGCACAAAGGTCAGTCTGACTCACCTCTCACAGGCCCCAGGTAGCTTGGAAAAAGTCATCTGTCAATGAAAACACAGTCCCATCCTAAGGGAAGAGTGACACCTAGTGGCCACTGAGCAGTTTTTCTTTATGGCTTCTGATACGTTGAGCTAATCAGCCCTGTAACTGCCCAGGATGCTGGGCAAATATGAACTACGTGCGTAGTAGATGCCTCTTTAAAGCGGGCTCCACACCGGGTCATCACAACACATAGTCTACCCAACACGCGTGGGCTGTTTTGTGTTTGTGTCCCCCACACACGACGGAGATTCTTTAAAGACAGTGGCGACAGACCAAAGAGCCGAATACTCCTTGATACTGTAAGTCAACACTTGTTTACCCAACATGCCTCTAGTCTGTCTCTCCTAAGGCTCCTTTCTGTTTCTCAATGCATTTCCAAATTCAGTGACGACTACAGGGGTTCAAGGTATACCTCAAACTGTATCCAACTTTGGGCTATTCCCATGTAGTAAAAGGCCAGCATTTTTTCCAGTGTTAAATAACTCCACAACAACGACAGCAACACAGTTCGAAATGTGGTTCGTGAGTAGAGGTTCACAGTTACTCAACTGTATCGGATCAAGAACCAATAAATAGTCATTCTTTAGACCAACAATATTAGAGGTAAATGTCCTATTTATGGCATATCCTTTGGTCTACATCAATAATATCTAGTTAGTAAGTTCCAAAGCAGCACTGCACAAGAGAGAGGATGTGAGCCACATGTCATTTTAAAAAGTCTAGTATCTACATTAAAAAAACAAAAATATACACGTGAAATGGTTTTACTTGATATAATCTATCCAAGGGAATATCACTTTGACCTATAACCAATATGAAACTGTAAATGTGATACTTCACATTATCTTTTTATATTGAGTCCTCAAAATCCACACTGTATTTTACATTCACCACATACCTCCATTTCTACCCATTCTGGTTCCAGTGCTCAGCAGCCGATGCACCTAATGACTCTCATAGGAGAGAGCAGAGGTCTAGAGTGCTTACCTAATGCTCAATGTTCTGTGAATCAGAATCAAAGACTCAGCACAGGAAGTCAAAGATTAAAACCCCCTTCCTAGATGGATACATTGAGTCATGGAGACTACAAGGGCTTGCCTGGGCTCACAGAGGTAAATGCAGCCGAACAAGGTTTCTTGACTGAGTCTCATTCTACGGCACCAAGGGCAGGTGTGTGCCAGGCAAGGCTCCACAGTCAATGTCCCCGAAAGCAGCAGCCAAGGGAGCCGTGGGCTAATCTGCTGCAAAGGGACCGCTTTAGAAATCTTTAAAAAACAAAGATGTCACTTTGACGCCCAAGGTATGTCTGACCCGAGCCACGGTATTTGTCATCACTGCATAGGCACGCAACAGATGGAAATGGAAAGGAAGCGTGATGAAGAATAGAAACATTTGAAGTAAGGCGCTGAACGCGCCACTGACTGCTGGAAGAAGGACACGCCTGTCTTGGAAGGAGCACAGCCACACGGTTCCTTAAACGCGAGAAGGCAGAGCTTCGTCTTGCCTTCTCTGGATGTGCCATCAGGAGGGACCATCCCCGGGGGCGTCCCGCATGGCGGAGGGTCAGCCGATTAGAGGACGGCCCTGGACACGCTGGAATGCCACACTGGTTGCAACCATGGGCTTCAGGACCAGACAGTGTTTCTTTGGTTACACATAGGGCCACTGTGAGTCAGGACCAACTTGATGGTACCTAACCACACGGTTATAGCAATAATCCCGAGAGTTAAAAAAAAAAAAAGGATGAGTATTTTTTGTATGATCCTTTCATTCAATTGAAGCTACATTGCTTTTCACAAAAATGCATGGCATTAATTTGTAGGAGAAAAAAGGAACCTTCGTATAAGCCATAAACTATCGGTTGTCTGTAATTAAATGTTTATGGTTAGAAGGCATTTGGAAGAAAACACTACAGTTGGCAGAGCTACCATATTGTGTAATGCATGACTATCATATTCTGCGCCTAAGGTCAGAGGATCTACAGAAAATATGGGAGTGGACTGGGAAAGATCACAACATGCAGATGACACCGTTGACTGTCTGCTCATTGCTCTGTGAAATGACCCCTTCTCTTGCTAAATAAAAAAGTGGTTTCTATACCAGGTAGCAAGGGTCTGTTTCTAGAAACTCTCTCAAATCCAGAAGATTTATCCTGCCTACTTTTAAGGCCCTCCCAACACAATGATCGAGCTTGCTATCCCCTCTGGAGGCCAATCTACTGACTTGAGTACTTAAAATGTTACAGTGGTAGGCAGGTCCTCCTGCTTGGCTCAGCAATCAGAGGTGGTCTTTCAAGCTTGCTTAGATCTAATCATGATGCTCAGGCTGCTGTACACTGATCCTTACCTGCCACTGTTGCTGCGATGTTGTAGCTGTTGGGACGTTCTATTCTACGCTATGTGGTCTCTGGAAGCCTCGAGTATCAGAACCAGGACCAGTGTTGGCTCAAGAGCACAGCGTACCAGTACCCCTTTGCCTACCTGTCCACTACACATTCCATGCTTAGAGAGAATATTTGATTTGGGTTATGGTCTTTGGGCATATTTAGCACTATCATGTTTGATGAAAATTCTACTCTATTACCTACAGCTAATCAGATGGGGTCAAAATAATGTTTGGTTTGGTGAGCGGCAGTGAGGGAAATTTGTGGGAAAGGTGTAGCATCACGCAGAAAAAAAACAAAACAAAACTGATTGGAACCCCACCCCGCAGCCCCAAGGTGTTTCTCGTCAGTCTCCCAGGCTCCCCTATTGCATACATGAGGCACAAGAGAGCATGTCTGGGAACACGGTTGGGAAACTGGAAAGAGCTGTTGAGAAATAAGGTACTAAGAAAGCGCAATTCTTAAACAGGTAAGTGGTCTCTAAATATTCTTAATTCTTACACTCAGTTTGAGCCTCCTCTTGGTTAATGACTGGTTGAAAAATCCTCTGCGAATGTTTAATTATAGCCAGGTTTCAGGGGCTTTGCATTGCCCTGTGGCTTTACCATGTGCTGACTTACCCTTTATAGTATTTCCTTGGATTACATGCAATGAGAACCACAATTGCTTAATCATCTAGAAGATCTTGATTTGTCAGATCATTGGTCATTTCACCAGTGAGACCACTGATTTCCCAAAGGTGTATAAAGAAATGGCTTTACATACATTAAATAGTCAATATCTATAATTCAATGTGCAACCTAACCTAGGATGCTGAACCTGCCTGTTACTTCTTCTGAAATGGATTTATCACTAAATATACTGATCTGTAAGGGATATCTTGGGTGGTTACATTAAGAGTACATTTCATATTACTGAAATGTAGGGCTACGCTGACCCTTCCTGGATTCATTGTTCCTTGGGGGCATGGCAGGAGAGGCTTGGGGAAAGGAGAAGCTAATAACAATGAACACAGCATCAAGAAAATGCTTTAAAACAAATTGTGGGGATGATTGTACAACTCGTGATGTGATTGAACTATTGAATTGTATAATATGTGAATTATATGCCAATATAAGCTGACTTAAAAAAAAGATAAGCAAAGTTGAAATGCAACCCCTCCCCACCGTGTTTTAAATTAAAAATAAAATTCTCACGTAAAAATCCATCCTCCAGTAATCAACTGAGCATAACTGTTCTTGCCCAAGTTTACAGAGGTGGGATACAGCATTCATTGTGATTACGACCACAACTTTCACCGTTCCTTTAGTGTTCAAGTACTCGCCGTTTCCTTAAAGTATGGAAGCCCTACCTCAGGTAGGAATGAAATACTCAAGGTATGGAAATGTTACAAATAACACACATCTAGTACAAGGTGGCTTTAAAGAAGTCCACGGAAAAACCCCATTCTCGTTCCACCCTATTTTCCCATAAACTTCGTGAAGCCCCCATATTTATAAATGAATCTTATATACAAGAACGATGTCAATATATTAGAGCTCACAAATTCAAAAATTATATCAAAACAATGAGCAATATGTATGCTATAGTGTTTTACAACATTTTAGCAAAAATATAGCCACGCGTGGGCTTTAAGCTGTTTCACTGAGTAAAGGAGTCTGTACAACATTCTGAGAGTCTGTGGGGAGCAGAACAGACTTCTCCAGAAGCCTGTGAGAGAGAGCAAGGTGCAAATCTATAAAATTTGGTCGAACATTAATAAAAGATAAAAACAGTATTAATACAGTACTGAAGAATATACAGTTTCTTATAAATGAAATGCTTTAAAGCATTTCTCATTTTTGGAGTTAAAAATCAAGTGCTAGAGTGTCCACTGGATGTCACTGAAGTCCGCAGGGTCTCCCAGGCCCCCTTCTGCTTCAAAGTAGTTCATGAACGCAGCCAGGGCCGTGTCATCGTTGTCACACAGGGCAGCCAAGTCCAGCTGGGCACCGTCGTCTGCCAAATGGAAATACAGCCCCGTGTAAGTGAAGGTGATTCAAAATCATAGTTTCACACATCGAAGGTTACAAAGTGAGTATCGTCAAAAATGACCAAGGATCATGGATTTTTTAGGGTCAATTATGTGTCTTAAATGGTAGAAGCCTGGTAAATCTTACACTAGGTCATCTAGTTTTAGAAACATCTACTTTCAAGTAAATTGTACCTGTGGCTAGAGGTTTACATGTGTTGGACAGAGTTTGGAAAGAGAAGAGTTTTAACCGGCCCTTTTTTTTTTTTCTTTCCAAAACAGTCAATGGAAAAAAGAAGATAGAGACAAAAACATCATCTTCCAAAAATTTGAAATATTCTGGTAAAAGAGGTTTAGCCAGATTTTTAAACACTGAAAACGAAAATAAGAAATCCTAGAAAGAGAGTTCCAGTTAGAGGCCGGATTCTCCACGGGTACAGGGTAAGCGCCGTGCCCAGATCTCTTGAAAGCACAAGAGAATTTGAGATGATTAGTATGCAGTTCGGTGTGTAGCTGAGATCCAGGCTCCTTCCAGTTCTCTGATTCTCTTCCCCCTACGTTTGTGGTGGAGCAATTCCTGGCAGGTCTGGGGGACACAGGATGATACCACTTCATCCTACTCAATGTGACGTTTACGGAAGTCTTACTGAGATGAGGGGTTACATCCGAAATGCTTAATGATGTGTATCCTTGAAAAACCCTTGAGAAGGAACATGTCATGATTAAAGCCTGGCAGGCAGCTGACCAGGAGCACTTACTGAGGACTGGCTCGGTGCTGTGGACGGCAACTGGGCTCCCGCTCCACCTGGTAGCTTCTGGCTCCCCCGTTTCAGGACTGAGTGGGATCCGCTCCTCACCTGACACCTGGGAAGATAATTCAAATAATGGACAGTGAGTAGGTTCCCCCCCACGGCCACTGGCATCACGTCTGCCACGAGCACTATGGTGGCTCGCTTGCTGAACTACTGTATGTTAGACTGCGGAGTCTCAGGTCACTTTGCTCTAAGTGTATGCTTGTCTTTATACGAATTCCAGGACAGTGACATCTACAGTCAGTGACTAGACTCAGAGTGTTTTAGGACTATGGCAGGGAGACGGGGGTTGGGGTGGGATGGGACACCAGTGCTCATGGGTACAGGAATGAAGAAAAGGAATTGTGGTGATGATTGCCCGGCATTTTTTAAAAACTCGTGCAAACCATTGAAATACCAGGCATGAGAATTAAATGTGAACAAAACCATAAAAACCAAGTAAAGTAAAAATCACCAACTGGCCAGAAAGAGTTCATTTGTTTCTTTTCCCTGAAGAGACAGTTCATCTACTATTCATCTTACCGTTCGTTCACTTAGTGAACATTATTACTTTTCGTACATGCATGTGGACTTACATCCCTGCAGCTGCTTGTGAGAGTGTCTTTCATCACGTCTGTTGGACTTGACTGTAACCTATAAAAAGTCATACAAAAACCTGTTGGTTTCAATGATCTATTTTCAGAAGGAAATGCTATTTTTTGAAGATGTAACAATCTGATAAGTGCAGCCATGAACTTGAGGAAGAATATTACTAGCAGTTTTCAGAGTCAGGTTGGTCTGTGTAGTGGTTACACCCCGGCCTGCAACCCACATGGTCGGCGGTTAGGAACCAGCAGCGGCTCCGTGGGAGACAGACTGGGCTCTCCAAGCCCGTAAACAGTTACACTCTCGGAGCCCACAG